GCGGGCACCCATCAGGGCGCCGCACAGGGCAGGAGTCAGTCGCAGGTGGCATTCGCTGCGCCCGTCCCCACGCACCCGAATCTCAACGCAGGTCACAGGCACACAGTCAGGCACTGGCAGGTGAAGGCTGGCCCGGCAAAACAAAACGAAGGCTGCGACTGCGGCCCCCAGGCCCCCACCGGCCTCCAGAGCGAGCCCCTTGACCACGATATGGGGGAAATCGGGCCGCAGGGATGCCCGGGAGGCCGGGATGCACAAGGCAGGGAGTGCTGGAAAGGCAGGCAGTTGCGCTGCCCTGGCCCACACACCTTGGTGGCGGATGCGCCCCAGGCGCCTGGCAGGGTGCCCGACAGCCGATTGTTGCCCAGCTGTAGCACAGAGGCCGGCGTTTGGCGGGCAGGGTAGCACCTCATAGGGACAGCAATGCGGCGCCTGCCCAGGGGCTTTGCTTCCCCCGCCCTCCATTTCAAAACGCCTCCCCAAGCCTCCACAGCCCTGCCCCGGTGCACGGCCTCCTGCTGCGCTGCCCAGCCAGCAGGCAGGCAGGCGGCGTGCAGGCCCCGAAGCACGGCAGGCAGGGTGCGCGCCCAGAGGCCGGTGATGGCAGGGTGATGCGCAAAGAGGTCGGCAGGTAGCATGCCGCTGAGGTCATTGCCCTCGAGATACCTGCAGGCACGCCGGTACCAGACGCGGCAGCGTGATGGGGTGCTGCTGAGCAGCAGGTGCACCAGCGTGATGGGGTGCTGCCGAGCAGCCGCTGGTGTGCCCCAGGAGCATCTGCAGGGCCCTGACTGCAGCAGACAGCCAGCAGGCACCCCGGCATGCACGGCAGGCAGCAGGACATGCCGGCGTGCCGGCAGGCAAGCGTATGGCAGCAGGGCAGCGGCGGCAGCCTCACAGGGACTTCAGAGCCGGGAAGCCGCTGCTGCTCCACCCCGGTGGGAAGTGGCCCGAAAGGCCCAAAGCGTACAGGGCCAAGTGGGCCAGCGACGGGAAGCCCGCAGCCCACTGCGGCGGCAGGCGCCTGCCGCCGCCCGGGGCCTTGCGGCGTGGAGGTGTGGGGTCCGCCCCTGTGATGGTCAGCTTGGTCAGCAGGCGGAAACCCCGGGCCCAGGCTGCGGGTAGCGGGCCCGACACCTCTAGCTGTAATTCGAGGCGCGCCAGCGAGGGCAGCGCGCTGCCAGCCGCACCCCAGCTGGCAGGCAGCGTGCTGCTGAGCCCTGGGAAGGCCAGCAGGAGCGAGACCAGGCTCGGCAGGGCGCCGGGGGCGACGTCGGGGAGCGGCGCACAGCCGGTGCCCGTGGCGGCCAGAGTCAGCCTGCACTTGGCAGGGGCGGGGGGCACGCCAGCGCTGGGCAATGGGAGGAGAAGGGCAGCCGCCGTGGCGCCTGCGCCTCCCAGAAACAGCGCCGTCACTGAGTGTTAAGAGCTCTACCGCCAGCACTGCAGGCTGAGGCATGCCGCAGCGCGCGGCTCCAGCGCCTGGCTGCTGCCTCCCGGCAGCAGCCAGCTGCGCCACCTCCCCACCCGCCCAGTGCGCGGCACAGGCTGCTGGGTGCGGCGTCCTACAGACGCCCGACGCGCCTAGTCAGGCGTGGGAAGGCGCCGGGCTGTACCCAGGCCCGCGGCAGGCAGCTCTGCCCTGCAGGCCCGCAGTGCCCCCTCACTTCCAAGTCCTCCAGCCACTGCAGCCCAGCTAGGCCCAACGGCGCCACAAAAGGCGGGCGGTTGCCGCCCGCCGCCGCCGGGCTGTCGCAGGAGGGCAGCCCGCTGCCATCGACGTCGCCAGGCATTCCATAGTCGGGGGCCAGCCGCCTGCAGGCGCACGGCAGGGCAGGAGGGCAGGCAGGCAGGCAGGCGGGCAGGGCGGGGTCAGGGCAGGGCTGCCGCGGGCGCTCCTGGAGCCGGGAAGGTGTACTGGCGACAAACGGCAGCAGCACAACAACCACTCAGCAAGCACGCCGAAAGGCTGTGGGGGCGCTGAGACTGCTCACAGCACTGCGATGCGCCGGTCTGCGTTGCACCACACTCGGTTCCAGTCGCAGGGGTGGGTCACATTGTCGGCCGGGTGCCAGCCCTCCAGTCGGTACGCCAGCCCTGGGTGAGACTCGTACAGAGCCTGCCGCACGCTGCGCATCAGGGACACCTCCGCCTCCGCCTCTGCAGCAGCGGGTCGGGATGCGGGGGGCGGGCGTGCTGAAGCGGGCAAGCCGCAGGCAGCCAAGGGTGGGGCGGCAGGCGGGCAACGGCGAGGGGCGAGGGCTAGCAGGAGCAGCATGGGGCGGCATACAGCGGCTGATCTTGTGGCGAACTTGACGAAGTGGCTCATGCTGCGGTGAGAGGTGCCACTGACCTGCCTCTCTGGTGCCGCTGTCGGCGCCTGCATCTGCCGCCTGTGCGGCGGCGTGCAGCAGGCACAGAGCCAGCAGGCTTGCCAGCGCCCGTGCTGCCACCAGCCGGCCGACGCAGCCTCCCATGGAGCGCTGCACAGCCGTCCTGGCAGTCTGGTGCTGCCTGCCGTGAGCCTTCAGCATGCTACATACATAACATGTGGGCGCAGGTGAGGGTCCGGCGTGGCGGGCACGAGCGGAGCGGTGCGGTGCGGTGCGGGGGCTGGGAGGGCTCCAGCTGCTGTGCCAACAACCCCCGGCGCGCAGCGCGCGCCGCTTTCCAGGCTTGTTGGGCGCCTCGACCGCGACTGTGGTGCAAGCGCAAGTTCCCCGCCGCCACAGTAGGGCAGGCCACAGGGCGGAGCCAAGCGGAGCGGAACGCGGCGGGATGAATGCGCAGTGTTGCGGATGAGGAAGAAGAAGCGCGCGACAGGGGTGACGATTGCTAATCGCCAGCTCGCAGTACCACATCCGCCGCCGCCGCCGCCGCCGCCGCCGCCGCCAGCCTCTCTTCCCTGCTGCCGCTCTGCATCTGCCTAAGTAGCCCAGGCTTTGCTGCTGGAATTTAGCCAGTGGCTGCTTGGGGGTCTTACTACTAGACGAAGAGGCCTAGATGAAGAGGCCACCTCGCAGCCACCTTGTCCTCCCGCTCATGCGCATGCTTTACACACTGTGCTGAGGCGCCCGATCATGAAGCCGCTGCGCTGCACCTGCGCACCACGCAGGCCAGCCTAGGCAGAAACGCCGCCGCGGGTGCCAGGCAGGGCCGCACAGCGCCGCCACCGGCGGAGCCAGCACAGGCCGCCCCTCACAGCACGCGGCTGGGCTTGGCGGCGCCGCCCTCCTCGGCATCCTCCCAGGTGTGCCAGGCATTGTCCACGAAGCGCTTCCCGCAGTCGATGGCATCCAGCTTTGCCTGCAGGCGGCAGATCAGTAGGGGCGGCACCAGTAGGGGCAGGAGCGGTGGGCGGGTCAGGAACCAGCAAGGTGGCCAGGGGGATGTGTGAGCATTACCTCCACGGTCCGCCGCGCGGCCTCGGGAGCCGCTGCACGGCTGCAGCGGCGTGCAAGGGCAATGGCGGCGCCCCGCCACAGCATACCGCACGCCTTTGCAAAGCTCGGCCTGCCGTACCAGCCCCACCTTTTGGTCCCAGGTCAGACTCCAGCTGAACAGCCCCTCAATGTTCTCCCTCAGGTGCGGCTCGCTGCCGGCCTTGGGGATCACAGCCACGCCGCGCTGCACATTCCACTTCAGGAGGACCTGCAGAGCGGCAGAAGAGGCAGCCATGAAGCACCAGCTGATTGGGAGGCCGTCTCAAGCAACCCGAGAGAGTCTTGCCAACACCCCGCAACTGATGGCTCTGCCTACCGCTGCAGGGGCCCGCCCGCCCAACCAACCAAACAGTCAGCCAGTGATCCAACCAGCTGGCCAGCCGGCCAGCCACGCGAGCCGCCAGCCAGCCAGCCCCACCTGCGCCGGCGACTTGCCCGCCTCCGCCGCCACCTCCAGCACAGCGGGGTGGGTCATCAGCTCGTTGTCTTTGCGGTGGCCCAGCGGCGAGTAGGCCACGCTGTGCACGCCCTGCACGGCACGGCGTAGGCTGGGTGGGCGGGTGCCCAGCTGGCGCGTGTTGCCAGCCGTCTGGCCAGTGTTTGTTGCGAGTGCGGAATGGGGTGGGGCAGGCGCCAACCCCGCACACGCCTGAATCCATCCATCTGCCCCCCGCGATGCCTGCCAAACCGCCAACTCGGCCCCGATCATGCTGCCAGCCTGCCAGCCTGCCAGCCAGCCCACCTACCTTGCGCAGGCACACGCCCACCAGCTTGCGCTGCGCCAGCAGCGGGTGCAGCTCCACCTGGTTCACCACAGGCTTGATGCGGGCGTAGCCCAGCACCTCCTCAATCTGGCAGGCGCGGGAGGAGCACGCGGAAGCAAGGCGTCAAACGCCGACCATACTTGCCAGCAGGGGAGAGCAGAGGTGCGCGGAAGCACGCTAAGAGAGGGAGGAGGCCGCTGCTGCCCGGCACTGCTGCAGCAATGGAGGAGGGGACGAGCAGGCCGGAGCTGCCGGCACGGCATCCCCTGGCAAAGCAGCCGTGGCGGCGCCAGCTCCAGCTGCCCGGCACGGCCAGCGGGCGGCCGCTTACCTGCCGCAGGCTGAAGTTGCTGACGCCGATGTGCCTGGCCAGACCATCATCCACAAGCGCCTCCATGGCCTGCCTGCACAGGGGAGCAGGCAGGGAAGCGGCGTGCCGGAGCAGCCGGCGCCGACGATGGTGGCAGGGGTCGGCTGGCGAGGTGGAAAGTAGCGGCGTGCAGGCGCTTTGCAGCCCTGGCATGCTGTCTGGTCTTCAGACTGAAGGCCGCCTTGCAGCTGCCAGGCAGCTGGAAGGCAGCTGCCAGCAGCCGCCCGAGCCCCAGCCGGCCAGCTGGCCTGGGAGCCGCCGCCGCCAGCTCACCACGTCTGCTGCAGCGTGACCTCTGGGTCCGTCTGCTCGGTGCCTGGCAGCCACGCCACGGGCCAGTGCACCAGGCACAGGTCCAGATGGGCGCACCCCAGCTCCGCAATGGTGCGCTCCACAGACCGCCTGCAAGGAGGCGGGAGGAGCGGCGGTGCAACAGGCGGCACGCGAGGCGATACAGTTTGGGACTGCGGCAGCACGCCGAGAGGGCTGGGGCTGAGGGGGCAGGGGCGCTCTGGCAGCATCCATCCAGCCAGCCAGCCAGCCGCGGCTAGCCAGCCTGGCTCCCGCAGCCAGCGCCGCCACAACCGCTCCCCGCCGCACCTGACCGCCTCGGGCCTGTGCGCATCGTTCCACACCTTCCCAGTGATGAACAGCTCGCCGCGGCGGCCCTGCAGCGGCCGAAAACCTTTCAGGCGTTGGCCGGCGGCAGCTGCGCGGCTCCAGCCCGCTGCCGGCGGCAGCAGCGGCAGGCAGCGCAGCCAGCAGCGTCCCGCGCCAGCCTCTGTGCTGCTGCTCTGCGCCTGGCACACACACCTGCGCGAGGAAGTCCTTGAGGCCCTCCCCCACCAGCGCCTGATTGCCGTACACAGTGGCGCAGTCTATGTGGCGGTACCCCACTGCAGCAGCGGGCGGTACACGAAACCAAGGCGGTGGGAGGGTCCGCGCCAGCGGCAAGCAGCATGCGGGGTATGACCCATGGTCAGCAGCGCTGTCCAGGCAGGCAGCAGGGCAGGCCGCAGCGGGGAGAAGAAGGGGGAGGCAAGCGTAAGCGTGGGCCACCGCCCGCACCTCCACACCTTCCAGCGCTTTGCGGATCGCCTCTGGGCTCTCGGTCTTGTAAGTGCCCAGCCCGATGAGCGGCATGCGGGTGCCCCCTGGCAGCAGCACATACGGCGTGTCGTTGATGGGCTTGTCGGTGGCAGCCTGCGACTCGTCCTGCGCCTGCAACGGGCAACCCGCGCAGGGGCAGGCGTAGCGGCAGCACCAGCCGCCATCAGCAGCGCGCCTCACCGCCTGTCGCCGTGTCCATGGCTGCCCTCGGCAGCCCGGGCCAGGCAGCGCGACAGAGCTGTGGCAGCATCGACGGCGGCAGGCAGCTGGCTCACATGCATTGGCTCGGCGACATAGCCCCGAGGCGCCGGCCCCTTCCACACCCCTGTGCGGTCGCCGCCCCTGCCGCTGCTGCTGGCCGCCTGATGCTCCTCCTGCTCCTGCGGGCCCTGGGCGTGCCCTGACAAAGAGGGAAAGAAGAGAGCTCGATGAATGGCCGCGGGAGGTGGCGGGGCGGCGGCGGCATCGGGGCGGCCGCAGGCCAATGCGCTCGGTCTCACTTGCGCTTCCATAGGTCTCCGTCTTGACGAAGCCAGGGTGGTGGAGGAGGTGAGTGAAGCCCCCACGCCCCGACCACTCCACAGGCTGGCAGCCTGCATGCGGCGGGGGGGGAGGCAATGCGGCAGCCTGGGGTGTCGTACACGGGCATTTTGTGGTAGGTGTGGAGTTGCGAGGGAGCTCACCGTCGCTGGCCATCTTTCTGCCTCTGCTGCCTGGCCTACCGAAACTGGGGGACAACCTGCAGGAGGGGAGCGCGAATTGCATTTGACTGCGGTGGAGTCTCCTAGTCGGGCTTCATGCAGGGTGCCGCCAGTTGGCGGCAGGCCAGGGTGCCTTCCCGGCGGGTGGGGTCACATGCTCAGGTTCAGGATGCGCCCTGTATGCCTCGCTGCGTCTCACCTAGGGTGACTTGTTTTCTGAGCCCCAACCCTGCCGCCGCTTTCTCCGCCAGAAGCTAAGCCGCCTCGCCGCCTTTTCTGCCACCAGCAATGGTTTTCAGCGACCACTGCTCTGCCGGCTTCTCCCGCATGCATTGCCCCACCCGCTTTCCTTTTCCCTTAGCTCGCTTCACACCCTGCAGCGCTGTCTCCCCGCTTATACACCGAACGACCGGTGCCCTATCAGCTGGCCTGCGCTGCCTGTTGCTTTCTTGCTTCATCCCCGGGGCCCCCTACACTGCTATGCACCTTAACAATATGTGAAGCAAGCTTGCTCTTGCTGAAACCAAACTGTAAGCCTCAAACAGCAAAAAGCAATGCAGTGGAATGCAAGTTGCACCACATCGTGGGCTGCTTTTTCTAAGAATGGATCTAAGAATAGGTCCGGACCTGCTGCCCACAGGCAACCAACTCGATCGCTGCCCACCGGCAATCAGGCGGCAGCCTGCAGGCGGCGGCCCCTCAGCGTCCGGGCGTCTCCGGGCCGCCCATCCTTGTTCCTGTCGAAGTAGACGGCATACTCCACGCCCGCCTCGCGGTTGCCGCCCGCATACTGGTTCAGCGTCACCTATGGACACAAAAGGAGGGCGCTGCGGTGAGAAGGGCCACACGCATTGCAAGTCCCCTCCCATTCACACTGTGTGCAAGCCTAGGTACTTATGGCTGTGCCAGGCCTGACGCACGCTCAGGGACTTGGGGCACGCGGTGGTGTTGGTGACGGCGCCGTTGAACTCGTTTTCACTGCAAAAGGCGGGGTTCAAGTCTCATCATGCGGCAGCACGTCTCTGCAAGGCTGGCTGGCACTTGGCATGGGGCCCTCTCAATGAGACAACCCCACCGATTCCCCGCAGCCTCTGCGCCTGCCCACCCGATGTAAGGGTTGTCGAGGTAGAAGGAGACAAAGCAGTTGTTCTGTAATGGGGACGAGGGGGGGGGGGGGGGGGGGGGGGGGGGGGGGGGGGGCAGGTTGGCTGCGTCGGCCGGGTGCGCAGCCGCAGGGTGTTGCTTGCTTGCTATGCCCTCCCTCCGCCTCATGCACCCTCCCCTCACAGACGCACATAACCGTCGATAAGAGCTTGGTAGGTGGCGGTGCACTCGGCGCCTGTTTTGTAGGTGTTGTCCGAGTTGCCCACTTGCACACCGCCTTTCGCACCAGGCTTGATGAGAGTGTTGCCTATCGCACATTGCTGGCCGCCTTTGCACCTGCGGGCGGGCACAAGCAGCAGTGGGCACCGGTGCTGGGGGGCGCAGCCAATGTTGCTACCACCACCGCGTGCACTCACTTGACGCCCTTGAACTGCAGGGTTGGACCGGGCTCCCTTCTGTCAATACTGCCTGAGAGGACGCTCAGAAACATGTTGCGGCACATGCACTGATCAGCCCCACTAAACAGTGGGCAGCCGCCCGAATTGAGGCCACCTATGATGCTCAGGCCCGTGCCGCCGAGCATGACTGCAGAGTGAAGAGGGAAAAGGCGCTGGACATTAGGGGCAAAGCCCTTTCCAGCGGTTGAGCAAACCGCCAGGAGCACATGGGCACGGTGGACAAGCACGAAGCCTCCCCCCCCTCGCCCTGCCCGCTAGCTGTCGCTGCCCCTGCATGGGAGGGCGCGGCCTTTGCGCGGCAGGGCGTGGCAGGCAGGGCGCAGCCTCGCTCCAGGGCTGTGGGACGCGAGCCCCGCCCACAAGAAGGCCGAGCCCACTTACGCAAAGCAATGGGTCCCAGGGCCCGCGCCGACCCGTGCAGGTGTGCAACAAGGAGGAGCGCGAGCAGAGGGGCTGCGAGTGACCGCGGCATTGCGGTGTGGGCCTGGCTCAGGTAGCGGGGCGCCGGTACCGGTTGCAAAGGTCAGGGCGCTGCCTCCTCTCTGTTGGCGGGCGCCGATGAAGAGCTGAGTGACCGGACAGGTGGCTGCGGCTTCTGAGGAAATCTCGCCCACACATTTGGAACTTTCACATTATTGATCCATCTACTTCTACGGTGGAGCCTCTCAACGCACCTGTTTCTCCTTCCACGATGCATTCCCGCCGCCTGCTGCCTCTGTTCGCGCTGTGGGCCGCAGCGCTGCTGGCCCTGGTTGGCGCGGCCAACTCCGGGCCCTGCGAGGGCGCCGCCGCGGTAGCCTGTATCCAATGGCTGGGGTTGGTGTCCGCCGCTGCCGAAGTCGTTGGTGAGCCCCAATGTGCACCGCCGGAACACCCCCGCCGAAACTCCTTGCACCTGCTGGGTGTGCGGGGCATGTAAGCATCAGCTGGTAAAGGGCAGAGCCCAGAGCCATGTTGATGCGGCCATGCCCCGGCCGGCGGCAGCTGGAGGGCGGCTACCATGCTGCCAAATGGTGTTGCCAGCAGCACCTTGGGGGTCAGCAAAGTCATTGGGGGGTTGGGGAGGCATGCTTTGCTACTTTGTAGGAACTTTTGAGGGGTGGGGTGAGGGCGGGGGGACGGGTTGTTTTGGCGGCTGGTCTGCCGCCGCTCCCGCCCTCGTGCGGAACGCCGCCCAAGGCAATTGTTTATGTTGCTTGCTGGTCATGTTTGTGCGGCTGGAGCGGTGGATGCATGATTTTCATTTTGAAAATTCCGCAAACTTGCTCCCCTTCCTCCACTACCCGTCTCACATTGTTGTGTGTGTCCCATGGCACGCAGGTATGGGCTACCAATTCACCCTGCTTGTGTGGGCTTAAAGTCTGGTAAAGCAAGAACTAGCTTGCAACATAGACTCCCCGCCGAAACGGGACGGGAACCGGGCGAAAGCAGAGAAAGCAATAAAACAGGGGTGGAGCAAGGCGACATGCAACGCAAGCAGCTGACAGGGCACGCATCGAAACGTGTGTATGACTGGCAAAGTGGCATGGCGCATTGGGGAGAAACGCAACGGTACGGGAGCATGGGCTGGCCAAACGGCAGTGCGGAACGCTAGGTCACTAGAAAAGCAGGGAAAGGCGCACTATGTATGCAATGAGGGCAGCCCCGGCTCGGGGCCGTTGAGAAAGCAGTGGGCGGGAGGGGGGAGGCCCCGGTGTGGGCGGGCCCCATCGAGGGGGGATGGGGCGCGCAAGCGGCCAGAT